TTACCGTAAACAATTCCTCTCTAACGGTTGTAACTTTTAGAAACATAACTTTTACATCTTTAAGTTATTTTTCTGCTGATTTATCACGTATTTGTTTAAATCTTGTAGGTGTGTTCTTTTCAGCCAATCAAAAACTTTACCAGAATTTCGGTAAGCCTCGCTTTGGCGTTACAATCGATATCACGTATCTTTACCAGACCCTCTGGGTGGTCGGAGATTTACGGAGACAGCCGAGGGTCTGGTTGAACGAGACTATTTAAGTCGCCGTGCGTTTCTGCGGAATTGGAACAATTTGAATAAAAATATTTAAAAACATTCATATTTAATTTATAGAATATTAAGCAAAGATATTCTAAATGTTTAACAAAAAGCACAATTAACATAACATAAAAAATTTATAAATAATTGGGTAAATATTTCATCCAATCCTGATTGCCAAACTCTGACATTACTGAAGTGCGGAGAAAATAAGCACGAAGTGTCTTATGTAGGCATAGTCTAAAACAAAGACCACATTGTATATCAACAATTTTACTTTCTCTTTTCAAACAGCCTAGACAGGATTTGTTGTACTTATTTTAAAATGCCGTGTATATCTATACATTTCTTATGGAAAATTTTTAAAAATTTGATGAAATATTGATTTCTTAAAGGCACAGAATCGTACGACAATTTTGTCCATGATGAGACAAGGATAAAGCGCGTTTTTACAATGTGCCAAGCATTTTCCCGCCACATCTCAACACCAAGACTGAAAGAGAAGAAATGAAGTGGTGGATCTAGATGCATTTGGGGGGTTGTTAAAGACCCAATTTTTTTACTGTACGGTTACCTGAGGAGGGGGAGTGGTCGAAGTAACAGTGGTGTTATTTACCTGGAGACCCCCAATACCCAAGATGTCAAAAATCTTTGTATACGTAGCATTACACAGGAAGTCTGTGTTTGGTAATCGGAGTCATCATTACGTGTTTTGTGTCTGGTTTTGAGTGAAACTACGTAAAATAATTATTTTAATATGAAATTTATTTGTAAACTTAACACATTCATCGTAATCATGGTAATGTTTTGAAGGAAAAAAAGTAAGATGAATGTTCGATTTATCGTTTTAGAAAATGTTTTCCTTACATGTATTAAAAAATAATCACGAGTAAAAACTACAAATCAATAATATTTATCATTTTTAACCTTCAATAAAAGAAATCACTTGTTTAAAAAGGTCTGAATATTGAAATAAAAAAATTATTAATCCACCTATCCGTCGTGCATGTGAACATGCATTTCCCGCGATCGGATTGTTTTTTTTCCCCCTGGCCAACAATGTTGTCCAAAATATTCCACATTTTTGATTCTTCGTGTGAAAACAAAATTTTATTGTTAGAAAGATTTCTTTTCAGAATCCATCACTATTAATTATCTTCACATTTTCATTACGTTGTACAGACGCGAGGAAATTCGAGCATTAATTCTGACATCAATTTCGGTGCAACATCGTGCGGATTGTAGCCATAGTACAAAATTAAAACTATGCTATGCCGTTTATTAGTGCTGAATATTTTTCTTATATCCCATTTCTTAAAAAATATTTTAAATCGTCGGACTTCCAATTACGGCAAATAGAGCCGGTTTCTGTGCATGGACGCGGTCTTTTTTCTACAGATAAATTGGACGATATAACACTTACAAGTAACAAACAGCAGTGAAGATAGAAAAGAAATATTTTATAATTTCAATGTTTTAATAATCTACTTTCAGTTATTTTTTTAAATAAAATTCAAACATATTGGAGTTTTCTAACCCGCGTGTATACTACGCGGGTACATGAAAGAGTTTGACGCGTGACCAGGTAATTGTTTTCAAAACATGGCAAACTCAGATCATCAGGAAGCACAGGTAGCTGACCTGTCAATCAAATCAGAAGCTATTGTTTTTTTTATGATTGACAGGCGGTAAATTTTTGATCTTGAATCAGATAGATTCTGGGGGCGTTAACATAGAATTGGGTGTTTAACATCCTCTAAGAGAGTCCCACATATTTCATATTTGTTCCGTTTAAATTAAAGTAAAACTATATAGCTAAGTTTAAACTTTAGTTTTGTACTTTTATGTAATAATTTTTTAAACATCAAACTTCCATCAGAGTTCGTTTATACGAAACTGAGTGCAGAGACGCAGAGGTCTACCGGTATATGGACAGCTTGCTTACACATATAATATTGTACCAATCTCTCACCAGAGGGCGCGCTCCGCTCCGTGTTGGAGCGGAGCGTAGACAACGCCCTCTGGTGAGAGATTGAATATTGTACGTGCAATATGCATGAAGAAAATCGGCAATGTCGCATGCAAGTATTTCATGTCACGAGGATATTTTAACAGATAAATATAAAAACTTTTAAAAAACAGATCACACAAATTTCAGTTTTGAATTACTTTATCAAAGGAAGAATTAATTGGTTTGTGGCCGATTTTTGACGCTTGCGTCAATATGTTTCTTGTCTGTGTTATATACTTATTGTCATTTAATAAATGACAATTCTCACTCAGTTTACATTGTTTGTTATATTTCAACGATTGCGGTAGTCTAGCCAGATCACTAGGGTTACATAAAAGGTGTTTCCGATATGGAATTCGTTGGTAATGTTTTTTGTTTTTATTTTTATTGTAAATTTTCTTTTTGAAAAGTGCATGTACATGTTAATTGTTTATCCTCTTGAAAATTAGATTTTAGACATGGATGTTTTGAGTAAATCAACTCAAATTGTTTCTTCCTTGATTACCTAAATATACATAAATGTCGTGTTTCTACAGTAACTGTATTCCTACATGTTAAGGTAAAATAAGCTATATGTAGAATATTTCGATATTATCTTCTAGAGGAAATTTAAGAAAATATTAGAGTACAGTTCTGTATTATTACAAAACCGTGGCTCGTAATATGCACACACGTTTGATTGCTGGTGAACGTAAAATTAATTTCATGTTCACGAAGATAATTTTTTTTCTCTTTTTTTGATAAATCTTATTAGCATTTTTAATTTAAATAGAGATGAGATCTGTGTAATCACGATTTTGATTATGACCAAATTAATTTAATTGCCACTCTCAAGGCTTTACGAATTGATATATCCGTCATTGGAAAAGAAGAAAAGAACACTGTAATTCTGGTAAAACGTGTTACCGATATGGAATTCGGTGGTAATGTTTTTTTTCATTGCTTAATTTTTTTTTTGAAGAGTGCATGTGCATTGTTTTCCCCTTTGAAAAATTGATTTTAAACATGGGTGTTTTGAGTAAATCAGCTCAAACAAATATTATCCTCAATAAACAAATACTAGTAATTACAAACAATTCTTATCCCTCATCCTTCTTTGATATCCGTATGCTAGAGCAGAAGAATGAACTGGCAAAGGTGTCTCAACCTCGTACAAATTAATGGGTTAAAAACATTTATTAAACTAAATAATTATACTAAACATAATTAATTTTCACAAGAGATGTATCTTTGACGTTGTTGTTTGTGATCTGCAAATGAGTTATATTATTGTGAATAAATGTTTGAACTAAAAAAATGTTTATCGTTTTATTCTACTTTTGCTAAAAAGTAATTTAATCGAAACACATCTCTGGAAGTTGAAACACGTACTTCAATTGTATTACATGTAGTCAAACTGAAGTAGTTAAGGTCATACACAACGTAGTTTGATCAATTTTTGGAGCTCATCCCTGGAGTTGAAGAGTTCCACTAAATGAAGGACCTGTGTGCAATACTTTAATGTCTATATATGGATTTGTACACCTCTTCTACAACAAACTTTGATGGAAAAAAAAATCTGAAAATTATGTTTTGTAATTTTTGTATATTTTTCTTTGAATAGTGCAAAAAATTTCATTATTTGATATCGTCCAAAAAAAAAAACCTGGTAGTGCATGCCGATTTTTTGTCTATTAACATCTGATATCGCTAAAATCTTAAATTAAGAATATCTTGAAAATTTATCAGTAGATAAGGTACCTTGCGTATGTCCTTAAAGAGCCATAGCCCGACACGGCCTAAACAAAAAATTAAAAAGAAATCACCTGTTTCCATTTATAAATACATTTACATGCGCTGTTTCAATTCAAGATCAAATTAAGAGCGTGTCTCAGAGAAAAACATGCAAAATCTGAAAAATCGTCCGGGAGGGTCTACAAAACTTTTCATTTTATCATATATTTTTAAGGTCTAGGTTGTCTGAGGATCTAAAATTTAAATTTAGAAAGTGTGCCACGTTTCTATTTTTAGTAACAGCCCTGTTTCTATATTTAGCAAAAATTGGCATAAAATAGTACGTGCAAATATGAAAGTTTGAGACCTTGCAAAATCAATTGAAAAATTTTTGCAATGCCAGATATTTATTATATCATCAACACATATATGTCAAAGATGAAAAAAATATATTTTTCACAATGATTACATCTATATATATTCTATGATCGAGCCACGAGTAAGGCTAAATTTAGAACTTTAGATTTATTATCCTTGTTTAGTGCAATGGTACAGCTTAAATGGAGAAAATAATTTGATCTAATAATGTGCTTTATAATAATTTATTTATGTTCAATCAAATATAAAAAATTCACTGATGGCTTTTAATAGGACATATAACAAATAATTGGTGGAAATGATGACCTTACGATGTTAGCCAAGCTCTCCATTTGTATCTTAAAATTGTTCAAATGTAATGAATATTTCTTCAATTGATGATTAATAATTTTATTTTAGTGTAAATAAATGCTGAGAACGACAATCAAAATTAAAACTTCATGAAAGTTTAAATTATTCACCAAAATTGATAAAGAAAGAGTGTTATTTGTTTGTTGAAGAGTTATCTCCCGTAGTGGAACTCTCCATACAAAAAAGGGGGAAAATGATATTGCAACATGGCAGGGGCAGAAGAACAATGTGATTTTCAGTAATTTTTCAAACATTTCAAGCAGTGATGGCCCAATAAATTCATTTATAAGCATATACTAAGGATCTGTCAAACCATTTGCGTTTACTCAAATCTCTGAACATACCCTAGCTTGGTTGTATGGAAAATTTATGACGTACCAGAGGCGATCGTTTTGCTGCATTCTGTAGGTCTATAGAAATGGTATTTTTTCCATTGACACTACTAGCACATTAAAATTATAAGTATGTCAAAGACAATCAAGGATTAAAATGACAAAGAACTAAGTCAAAATGCTGCCGTCCCGATCAAAAGGAAGAAAGCAAAAGCAGACCGATGGGCTACCACTACCTTTTGTAAAGAATACTGGTTGAAAATGAGGGAGACAATATACCAGTTGGATCAGGTAGGACAAATAATTTTCAGTTGGAAGTTGAAATAATGAATGTATTTGTTCTCTATTTTACAAGTGATTGTGATAGGGGAGGAGGACAGGTGGTATAAACTCGGCTCAGATTAAACAATTGTTTGATCTTTTTTTTTTAGAAGTACATGTAATACAAGTTCTAAAAAATTGAAGAATTGTGCAAGCAGTGTGCTTCTCATAGGCAGTAATGAGTTCAGACCAAGGAGTATACCAGTGGTTTTAGAAGAGGAAATAGGTATATTTTAATACGTGCAAGGACAATTTTTTTAATTTAGTTGATCACACAAATATTTCATCACTATAATTACATAAAGATTTATACAAAATTAAATTGAGTGCCTATATTTTGAAAATCAAGAATATTGATAAAAAATCATAAAAATATACTGCCACTTATAAAGTTTGTACTGAAAATTTTAGCATGTACATGTACTATATAGACAGTATATGATTGCTAGTACACCTGGTGTATTATAGAGGTTTTAAACATCTCCCATATATTTTATAATTCCTCTCTTAAATTAAAAATTATTTACAATTGATTAAAATTCTTTCTTATAGCAACAGTTGTCCATGTGCTGCAGTATTTATTGGATCCAACCAAATCAGAAGAGAAAACCCTGAAGCAAATTCATATGGTAAAGTGTAGGGCTAGAAAATTAATAATTATATTTTTCACTTGTCACTTAGGCTATCACCTTGATTTTTTAATAACTCAGTACTCTTATTATCCCACTGGGCCAGTTGATTTTAAAAGAACTGGCCAGAATGCATAACTATAATTTATAGTACATGTAATACCTGTTTATATTATGATACTTTGTAATAGTGCAACATACATGTAACAAAACAAACCAAAAGTCTCTGTTGAGACTGTAGCTCTATTGGTTTGTACTTATAACAAACAGACAAAGGAAGAAAAAAGTAGCAGAGTGGTCTTGAAACTTTACAAGTGCAATAAATAGAATAATGATTTTTGATAAAGCCTCTTTTTGTGGCAAGATTGCCATAAAACCACAACTGTAGGAGCTGCTTTTATAAAAATTTTACAAAATTTTCAATTTAAGTTACTGTGACAAAATCATTCATCAATATTAAAAAACAAAAATAACAATTATGTTTCTCTTTGTAGTCTACTTGCATGCCACATTATATTATAATCAGACTAAAACTGTGTTTAGAATAGTCTTCTGAAAGTATTTCACAGAAATTTCTATTTTTTATTAACCATGGCAACACTGTTCATCAAAATAAAAGAAAAAACCCATACATTATCTTCTAATTTGTAATTTAACCGTTTACAAAAGTCACATGTCATGACATATGATATATTGGGATTGTGGTAGGTAAACATGGTTAAGTCAAGGTAAAGTTTTTTTTTCAAAAGAGGTCAGTTATCAAATTTATTCTAAAAGCACTGGGGCACTTTTTTCATGATGCAGTACAAGATCAATGAAGTACTTAAAGTGGTTTGTTTTCCAACAACATATTTATTCATCCTATCATTGATTGAATGTATATATTGTTTATCGTCTTTCTCGAGAATTTTTCACTCATATGGAGACGTCACCATTTGCCGGTGAAGGGCTTCAAATTTAGACCTATACTCGGCACTCAGGGCCATTGAGCAGTGAGGGTTCTTTATCGTGCCAGCGCCTACCGTGACACGGGACCTACGTTTTTAAGGTCATATCCGAAAGACCAATGACTTTCACTTCTGATGTTGAGCACTTGGTGAAGGAACAGTCATTACCTATTTTTACATCTTAGGTTTGACGTGGCGCCGGGAACGAGAATCGAACCCGGACCTCCCGATCATGAAGGGAACGCTCTACCACTAGGCTACCATAAACGGTCCTATTATAAAAAGTACACTTAATAATTAGTCTTTGAATAAATCTTCACCTTCATCTAAAGTAAATTGCTTATGGTGCATTTTAATTCATATTATAGGTAAAACAGGGTTTTCTAAGAGAGGAGGATCACAGGAGTGGAACTGTTTCATTTACCCAACACCTTGAGCTGACTGATCAAGGGAAATATGAAGCAGTTTACAGATGAAAGTCCTGCTGGAAGCACAGAGATTAATACTGAACAATACATGTATTACCTCTGTCCGGACTCATCATAACAGAAAGTATTTTCAAAATGTTGCAATCACGAAAATCTGGGAGTTGGAAATCAGTTTTACAGAAATTCAAGATCAAGTAGGAACACTGCAGCAAATTTATATGCTACAAAATGTGAAAGCATTAGAGAGTCTCAAAATTTATTGATACAAACAGTCAAATCAGGTAGAGTTGATGATGGAGTCCAGAGAGAGCCAACAGGCGAAAGCATGGGTTTGGCACTGGAGAGCCGAAGAAAGCAATACAATTCTCCAAGAAAGAAAAGGACTACTTGTGCATGATATGCGAAGAATGTGACAGAACAGGAAAATGCCCCGATAGTGTCTCATTGGCAGATGAGCTGAAGAAAGTAACTGATAAAAATGGTGAAAGACTTTTTAAGAAAGATAAATGGCTAAATATTTCACAAGTAAGAGGATATATTGCCTCATATGTTTGTCAATAAAATCTAAGAGTGTCTCTGTACCTCCCTCTGTAAAAAATCAATTGTTGTCTGAAAAAAATATTGATATGTGGGGATTTTGATTTTATTTTGCAGTTGTTGAAGTGTTGAGTAATAATTAAGCATATAAATTTTATATTTCATGATAATCATAAATTTGTGGGTCTCTCCATGCCCCCAAAACATTGAAAATTAACCCCCCCCCCAAAAAAAAATTAGAACCTTGGAAATTAAAGGTTCCAATATACTTAACCATGGAATTGATTTTGACATTCTTACATTATAATCAAAAGTTTCATGTTCATTAAAATGTTAGAATTCTGATTGTTACAGTATTTTCAGTTTGATGGGATATAACATGATCAAAATAAGTTTTTTTAAATTTATAAACTCTGTTGCCTACATCACAATATGACTTCTATCAAAGAATGTATCAATCATTATAAAAGTAATTAGTTCCCAATACAGTGTATTGAGTGTAACATGTTTTGGAATCAACAGAGAATGAAATCAACTACAGTAACTGTAAACATGAATTCATTTTAAGTGTCTTTACTGTAACCAACATTATGTACATGAAGTTCATGTATTACATACCATATATTGTAGAATAAGAGATCACAATGCTAATTTTGACCTTTATGCACTTGGTTTAATGAATTCTATTTTAGGAGAGCTATCATATTCAAAAGATGTTGAAAAATAATCAAACTTATTAATTTTTACAGAAGTTTGGTTTTGTTTACTTAAAACATTTACAACAATATTGTTTTCCTTACATTTTAAGTTTAAGAGATGAAAGGGGATTCATAATATTGTGTGTAACACCCCCCCCACCCCTTTCTAATGGATTATTTTGATTTATAGATGTGTTATCTATTGAACTGTAATTAATATGTTTAATTTTTAAAATACAGATATGAATGTTACCACAGAAACATTTTTTTTAATGTTTTGAAAAGTTTTGAAGTATTTTATGTATAACACTTTAAGTATTTTTGATACCTTGAGTGTGAAAAATTAACTTACTTTGACATTCAATGAATACTAAAGTTTAAATTTGCCATCAGCAATTTTTTCATATTTTGTTCACATAATCATCCTTCACAATAAGCAGTAAAATTTATTAGATTAAAATTTCCATTTTGGCAGTAAGTGTTATTTCAATTTATTAGAAAATTGACATTTTTTCAAAAATATGGAACATTGCCAATTTTATGACCTTTTTGCACTTAAACAAAATGGATGTCAGTCATTTTTACTATGCACTTAAGAAGTACTAACCTGTGTTCTTTTATTTCAAAATTAAATATTTTGATAATAATGAGAGTTGCAGTTTTAATTCTTCTCCAAATATGACTAAAAAGTATAAAATATGACCTGAGTTTTCATTGCATAAGAGCTACTTTTAGTAACAGGTCATATAAGGTATACCGGTATGATTGGCACAATAAAAATTTGTCCAATTTCCATTCATGCATACTACATTTAGCTTGCAAAATTTGAAGGCAATTGGAGAACCTTGCTACTGGACCATTTTGCATGTTTTTCTCTGAGTCACGCTCTTAAACTACATGTTTGTAATCATTTGTGGACCAGGGGCCCGTTTCACAAAACCTACGTAGGACTAATTATATAACTTAGGAAATAACTTTTTCCTAAGTTCATTACTTATCTGACCCACTAACCTCGTCTAATCTTAGGATATTCCTAAGTTTTGTCGTAACTTTAGGACAGGTAAATCGATGACTTAGGAAGAAACTAAACATTGCGGCTTCATATCCAAGACTTCTTATGAAGAGAATGTGTTTCGGGAAAGAAAATCCAATGGACCACTAGTATATGGATGATTGTGTCCTCTCCAGGTTAAAACTGCTTTACTTTGCACGTAAATACTACGATTTCAATAATTGGCAAACATGTGTCAAAATTAGTCCAAGGTATACAATGTCCATTCACAAAACTGGAGCTTGCGAAATAGATGGTACACATGCTGAAATTATTCCCTATTATTTGAAGAGCACAACTTTCTAAACAAAAATCCATTATTATACATTCATGTATACATTATGTTTTTATCTACATGTACAGAATAAAGCAAGCAGCTATGACTTTAGGTCAATAGAATAGTTTAGGACTGTTTTTTCCGAGAAACTTTCAAGGTGTAATGTCGTATTATAAATCTCTGAAATTATTTATATTATAAAACATAATAAAGAAAAACATAAGAAAGGTGCACAGAGAAAAAAAATTCACGATCACTATATTTAATTAATTTAATTTTTAGAGTAATTGACCCAGTCCCTGGTAAATACACTGTGTTATCAAACAAAGAGAGAATAAAATGAGAAAAATATATACAAATGTATACTTTTTTATTCTAATCCTTCAAATGTGCTTATTTTCCATGACCATGATGACCACTGTGAAGGTGCTCCGTGGCTATGAACAGCTGACAAAGAGAAACAGAAGATTATCATTGCATTGAGTTTTTTTCTTCTTGAATAAAGATGAAGAGTAAGAGAAATATCTTTTATATAGTGAAAGTGCAGTATTGATTTCAAATAAAATATCTAGATACTGTGAGCTTAAAACACAAACTCACACAAACTAAAGGGGAAGTAAAACCTTTTTCAATGTTCATTTTTTTCTATGAAACTTACTTTAACCCAGTAATCCACGAATTCGGTACTTGTAACTTGGCCATCATCTGCAAAATGGAACGTGTTCTCTTTTATGAAAGTCTCCTTTAACAATGTATTTTATAATTTTTTTAATGTTGACTTTTTACTGAAATAAAATCAAGGCAAAAACAAGCAAAATCGGAATTCCTGATATTGATTATTCTATTAAAAAATCTTTGACTTTTGTCATTTTTCCTCATGATTTGTCTATCATTTGTCATGTTAGGAATATTTTAAGCAAATAATGCCTCGATTTTGCTAAAGAATAGATAATTCTACGACAAAATATTTTGAAGAAATCAAATCCTTTGAATATTTTTTTTCTAATAGGAAGGTATAGATTTTTAAGAGATTAACTTGAAATTACATAACTTTCTAAACTTACTGTCAGCATCGAGTTTGGCGTAATACATGTCAAAATCATGATGATCAAGATGGTGGTCACCAGAAACATCATAATCATCGTAGAGCGCATGTGCAAAGTCATGGAGTTCTGGGGTTGTGGTTGTTACGTAGTTTGTATACTCACGGCGAGAAACTCGACCATCCCCTGTTTAGATAAAATTTATTTCTAAAATAAATCTTTATAATTTTGTTAAGTAGCTTATTTATTTTTAAATATATATACATGTACTATAGTCTGAAAAATTGTTCTTAATAGAACGTGTTGGTATCAGGAACTAGATTAGATCGTTTGAAAAACATCAGACAAGAGAAGGTCCAATTTGGTAATAGCTCTTTTGGCTATAACAAATTTCAAACACATCCGACATTCATTGCTTACCATTTGCGTCATACTTTTGAAACTCTCGATCTAGTTCCTGACGTGAAAAGATGCCATCATGGTTGAAGTCGGACCCATGGAAAAGTAGAAAAGCAGAGTCGTCGTATGGACGAAAGTCCAACCTGGAAAAACATGGATAAGTTGTACGTTAATTTAATCGATTCATAGGCTGTTGGTGGCGTAACAAGTGATATGACCTACAAAAGCTAATCTCAATAATTTTCAAGTCTTTTGAAAATAATTGAGCATGTTGTAGTTTTTAATATTAAGTGGAAGGGTTAACTTAGAGGCAAAGGAAATAATACTGAAAATCATTTTTTCGTTTTTTTTTCGTAATTATGCAAAATTCTGCTAAAATGTTGTTCTTACCTAAACTATTTCAAAACTATATTTAACAAAAATTATAAAGAATTCGTTAAATAAAAAATTCCAAAGAACTTTTGGACAATTTGAAATCACAAGATTTTACCAAAATCAACAGCTTAAAAACTTAAGACTTTTCAACTTTATAAACAACCAAAGTCCAGGCTTTTTGATATCAGTAACAGCTACTTTTTCAATAAAAATGGAACTCGTGAATTTACTTACTTTATACTTTAAAAAATTATTTTTAAAACACATTCTGGTTACACATACAACAATCTAATTAAAATTAGATGTTAGATCCGCTCGCGTACTCGCTACACTAACACCTAACAACATCCCATAAAGGGTCACGCCAGAGATCAAATTCGGAACGGCTCTAGACTTATTCGCTTCAACAAATATACGATTATTTTGCCAGCGACGATTTGATTGGTTGATAGAATTTGAACTCTGACGTGACCTTCAATGGGATGTTGTTAGATGTTAGTGTAGCAAGTATGCGAGCGGATCTAACATCTAGTTTTAATTAGATTGCACATACAAGTACTCTGAAGTTAACATCAAAAAGATGCTTTAGTTTCTGATTGACAATATCTATGTGGTTTTTGGAGACCTGTTCTTCCAACAATCCATTGGAATTTTCATGGGTACCAATTGCGCTCCGTTATTAGCAGACCTATTTTTGTATTCATACGAAGCAGAATTTGTGCAAAATCGTATGCATGAA